ATATAGAGTTAAAGCTTCTGGTCCATATTATAGTTCTCTGCTCTGAGTAGTTTTATGATGCTCTCTAATATTACTGACAAATTTATTATTTTTTTTATGGAGGTTTTTTTTAAAGCATGGTGTTAAAAATGTCTTTACATTTGAGTTGTTAAGTACAAATTTGTTATTTCATCAGTACAGAAAATTACTTATTTATACAGATGAAATTGCAGCAAAATTATATTGTTGGTGACTAAATGCTAAATTAAGTTTTAGACATTTTTATATCATATATAAAGCAGAGTTGTCTGTCTTTTTGGTATCATAAGTTCTTTTTAGAAAGAGGAACTTTAGTGGACCACCATGTATTGACTTTAAATGGTTAAGCAATTGGATGTATGGTTTGGTTTAACAGTCATTTCAATTTTACCAACTTTATGCCATAAATGATGGCTCAACTGGAGCAAGGGGGTTGGTAACAAAATATGTGAAACTAATACTAAACAAAAGTGATGTTCAAATGTTGTGCATGGCATGGGTACTTTTGCATTAGACAAACTGATCATATGCTGTGGTTCATAAAAACAACAGGTTTCAATACCTGTGGTGGGCAGAGCACAGATAGTCCATTCTTGTGATTTGTGCTTAATCACAAACAAACAAACAAAAAGCTATGGCTCAAAATAGTGGAATAGCCACACTTTTTTCATCTTGAATTGCTGGGTACCTTTGCTAGTTTTATGATAATTCACTGAAATTACAGCATATTGCTAGAATTGCAAAATAAAATTTCATTGTGTACTATGATACAACAGTAATTTGTTTATGCTTAAATTTTCAGATTTCTTTCCTCTAGCCTTTGTATTTTTTAATATCTTTACATATAGCTTTTTTTTATTTCTCAGTTAACTTGATATATAATTTAATTTAGTGGACAAAATTTTAAAGTTTATCCCTTTTATGCTTTACCTTACCTAGTCATTATAACTTCCTAGTGTTCTTGTTTTTAGCATAAAACATTTTTCACTTTACCATATTAGGATTTGTGAATGTATGTAACAAGAAGCTTAAAGCGACAAAATGTTACAACAATACCATAAAACATTAAATGCTAAAATTTCTAAGAAAAACTTGAATTTGTATATATTTCTGTTTATTTATATTAGTGAATTTTCTTTCAGTATTACATTCATTTAAAGATGTTACACCTGTACCACTAATCTGTGTTCTTACACTTTCAAATGATTCATTATATATATATTTAGCTTGTTTAGGAATTTTTTGTAACAATTGCTCGTAACTTAATAAGCAATTCTTATATTCTACGGTTTTATGGTGAGATAACAAAGTTTAGACCACTGGCCACAACCTTTTTTTTTCTATATGATATAAATCATAATTAGATTCTTTAGTATATTTTTGCCTACTTGTTTCTATTTTCTCATTGATTATTCCTATATTTTTAAAGTTTTGTTATTTTGTATAGATGATTATAACCTATTTGGGTAATTTATTTTTCAGCAATGATAATTTAGTTGAAATTGTATTTTGATTACTCTATGAATTTTAATTTTTGTTTATACTATTATGAGCCCTAGAATTGTAGAATAGATACTCTAAAATTTGCGCATTATATTAGCTGATTTACAGTTTTCTAAGAAATTTAGATTTAACTTATATTTATAATATTTAAAATGTAATTTTCAGTTTTCCTAAATGCTGACAGAGTATGATGATTATATCTCTTGAACATCATCGTAGAAATTCACTATACCCATTTTTGTGCTGTTGTGTTGACCATTAACCAACTATAGGCACTTTTCAAATAATGAGGACCCTCCCTATTCTATAATTTAGAAATTGCAATATTGAAGTAGGAGTGAGGGACATCAAATGGTGGATCCCCATTATACCATTAAAAATATTAATTGGTTAGAAACAAAAGAAACTAAGGAAATATAAATCATAATGTCAGTAAAAAGAACAACAATTGGGCATGTTGAGGCTTAAACTCAGCTGCTTGAAGATAACATTTCCTGGTCCAATTTTTTAGTCGTCCTTGTCATTAGTTTCAGAACTGATTTGATTGGAACTTTCTAACTTATATCAGTACACAATGAACCTAAACTGATCTATGAAACTTACATTAATATGTCATAACTTAAGCAAGTGAAAAAAAGATGAAGTTAAGTAGTAATGAAAACATAGTGATTGTAAGACTGTATGATGGGAATACTGTGGTGTTATTATATATAATAGCCTATACAAATAAGATTAGTGACATCATTAATGGTAACAACAAATTTCTGAAATTGGATAAAGATCCATCCAAAACTAGAGAGAGTTAATAACAAAGGTATTTGTTCAAATGAAAGAAGGACAATCTACTGACAGACAGTGAATACCACACTTTAAAATCAATTGGTTCCCATACAGAGATTATACATGGTGTTCATCAGATTCATAAAGGTAAACGTCCTATGAGACCTATAGTGCCAGGAATAGGCTGATATAACCTTGGGTTATATGGATTCTTAGTTAAATTGCTAAAACCTTTTTATTAGAAATGAACATACCATTAAAGAGGTGCACTGTGCTAACTTTGGCACAGTCTTCATATGCCAACATGCCACTATAAATAAGTAGACAGAACTATTGTACCATAATGATAATTATCATATGTGATTTGCAAAACATGTTTCAATAGCTTGTGAATTATGCTACTAAGGGGTCTCATTTTTTATTTGATAATGAAATTTGTGATTGAGGGGTTGGTGTTGCTATGGGGTTAAGTTTCGCTCCATCAGTTACAAATGTATTTATTTTCATCATGAAAATAAATGGTTTTAGGACTGTTCCTATACATTTCAAGCAAATATATTATAGAAGATTTGTAGTGGGGCTGAACTCGAGAGTTTTTTTTAATTACCTCCACAGTAAATATACCATTATTAAATTCAATGCTAAACATCAATATAATCATAAATTTCCTTTTTTAGATTTATTTCTTTATAATCATGATGAAAAATTTGAATGTTTAATCTTGCACAAAAAATATTTACAGGACTGTATTTTAACTTTTATTAGTTTTATATCATTATCTTCCAAGAAAAACTTGATTAAAACACTGGTTCATCAAGCATATGAGTTAACCAATAATATGACTGTTTTATTAAGAGATAGAAACTATTATGGAATTCCTAATAAAAAACTTTTCCAACAAATATTATAAAACAGAGTTATTCAAGAATATTTAAATGAGAGGGCCCTTCTATTATTGTCCACAGGAGAAGTAGCGAAACAAAGAATTCTTTTTGTTTTATCATATATTGGAAAGCAGGTGATAGAAATTAGAATTCAGTTAAGAAAATAATCCATCACAATTATGCACAACTGGAATTGAGATATGTATTTAAGCCAGTGTGTAGAGTAAGAAATTCATTTAGATATAAATATCAAATATTAACTTATCGAACATCAAATGTAGTATATCAACAAAGATGTCCTAAATGTAATTTAGGTTATATAGGTTCCACCACTAGGGTATTAAAACCATATATACAAGAGCATGCCAATTTGAGGTCAGTATTAAGAAACATGCTATGTAGTTGTAATGAACCCATAAATAAAGAAAATTTTTAAACTTTAGCCATGTCTAATAATGAACAAGAGTTAAGAATATAGGCTTAAACCAAAATTGAATGAACAAAATGGTGTAATTCGTTTAGTCTTTTAGATACCAGTTTTTCTTATTTCACTTATATTTGTATGACTTTATATTTTTAAAAGCTGTTTTTTGATTTCTAGTTGCTATTTCGGAGCTTGTGAAACAAACTCTAGCCTTCAGCAATGTTTTTATCTATCCTGAACTACTACCACATTCAGGATTTCAACGTCTTCCAGAAAAAAATAAAATATTTTTCACAAAAGCTGAAGATCAGTAAGTATTTAGCTTCAGATGAAAAAAATTTATATTATTTTGATATTTGCTATTATGCGAGATCCTTAAAAAAGTGCATCATGTAGTTTAATGGGAATTTAGGATAAACCAAAAGAACAATTATAGTGCTGTTTACATGTAATTGTACTTTTTTTTGTTATAAGTCTTAAGTAATTTGATGGTTTGAACTTTGATATAGTTTTTTTTTTGATATGTGTAAACATACATTTTTAGAATTTGTTTACAGAAAAATTCTATTTGACAATTCAGTTTGTCAATATCAGCCTATATTTTTCATAAACTTGCTAATTATTAAAATTTTTAAATGAGTAGGAGCTGCCCTATCAGAAAGTTGGAGAATTCGTGTTTTTCAATAGTATCTCCTTTAATAAAGTATTTTAACCATGTTTATGGTTAGTCTACTTGTTTTGTTAACATGTAATTTGTCTAATGATTCTGAGTGTTTTACCTATTTTGAAAGTTGACACCTTGTTTTCTGCAGTTGATCTATTCTTGAGAGTTTATTAAGAAATAGGAAGTGTAATGTTACTTCAGTATTCTTTCAAATTTCTAATTTTTAACGAGTAGATGTCATATCTTCCATAGCCAATCTTATATTGAGAACTTAATTGGTAGTTATTATACTATTCTTGAGTTTGTGAATAAGTAGGAAATGTAATTTTTTAGTAAATTGTAACATTTACATGATGTTAGAAGTTTTAGACTCATACAAGATTAGATTTAATCACATAGTATCAAATTATACAAATCAAAATATTTTGAGATCTTTGCCAGAATTAACAGGATCTACTTGTGACAATTAATTTAGTTATAAAAAATGTATCAGTGAGTAATATATTGTAATATGAAATAATAAGATTATACAAAGCAAGATTGAACAGTGTTTTACAACAGTGATGATTGCAACCTATCATCATGGGCATTGCCATGAGTGGGAGTGGGTAAGTTTCTGGATATAACCCTTCAGCCTTTTCAACCCCAACTACATTTTGATGGGGCTGCAAATACTGTCAGATATGATGATATAGTTAAATATTCATAACTTCTTTCATTGGCTGACAAGTTTCTTCTATCTGACATGAACTTGCTATGGACTATGTACTGGACTACTTCTGACTTGCAGCTTACTTAAGCATGTGTTGTAGGTTTCAGAAACAACCTCTTTGAAAAATCTTGGTGACGTCTATGATTATAAGGCCCTTTCTCAAGACTAAAAACAAAAACTCAATTAAGCTACAATATTTAGATAAACTGTATCAAGATTTTATTATCAGAGTTGATGGAATCATATATAGTATTGTTATTGGGTAGGAGAAAATAAAATAAATAGATGATACAAAAAAGTAATTAGTAACTTACTATTGAGAGATTGCAGCACTAACTTCAAAGCCAAATAAAACCGTTAGTTTATAATATAGAAAACATTTGCATTACAGGAATGAAGGATGAAAACGTTTCACTTAATTTAATCTTCCCATATTTACAATAAATTTTATGTTCAGCTCTTCCCCTCTCTGTTTTGTCAAATTTACCAAGCAGTGTTTGCACATATTGAAGTACTTCATACAGTAAAATTAAGAATGGTATTTTTAATATGTCTGATCTACTAATGGCATTGATTTTCTAGACTGTGTGAATGAAGTTTCCAATATAATTAACTTACCACATTGAGAGTACCATAGGAAATATATATACATATAATGCATTAGGAATGCAAGATAATTTGTGATTTATTTTAGAATATCAGACCAAATGTCAGCCGGTTTGATATTGCTATTGTTTTTGGCATGAGATACTGTAGAATAAATCTTGATATAACAATTATTGATGTCTTTCATGCACTTATAATGTGAATGTTTTGTCTGTTCTGTAAATTTTGAACATTCTGTTTATTTTTGGCTATTTATCAACAAGTAGGTTATGTTGAGTTTATTATCAAGTCAGATCAAGATTTTACATATTTTTTGTTGGTTTACATATTGTAGTGTTTTCATGATTTGTAGTAACAATTTGTATATCTAGTTCTACTGCTTAAGTCCATTTCTGTAGCCTGTGATAAAACCCTGATTTTCATATTGCAGTTAAGTTGTAGTGTGGTTATTGGAGGTGCAGATGGTGCCTAAAATTGAACTCTTTTGCGATGGTTACGTTACAGGATTTTTCTATATGAAGTTCTCTTAGTCAGACTCTGACTCCATAAAATTGCAAACAATTCTTTAGTGAAAATAATTAAAAAATCTGATTTTTTGTGTGCAAAAGCCTTGTAATATTAACTAAAAGCCTGCCAAGTTATGTGAAGATCTTGTGTTTTATAGTTTCATGATTACATAATAGTCAGGGTTCGTACGCGTCCTGGAATGTCATGGAAATCCTGGAAAAACACGATTTTTTTTTCCAGTACTGGAAAGTCCTGGAAAAAACGAAAATGTCCTGGAAAAATAAAATTTGTCCCGGAAAAAAATGTTTTTTTTTAAATTTCGGTTTTCTTGTTTTGAAGCTGCAACGGAAGATCCTTGAATGCGCCGTGGACCACATGTAGTCCACAACTACCAACATTAAGAAGAGAATGTTCAACATTTTTTTCCATCGCCTTGTTAACTTGATCATAGAATGACCAGTTTACATTTGGTCCGTCCATTGACAGCTGAAGAAGTCCTTGCCTTGGCGACTGGAGCGGAGAAGTCTGAGTTAGGGGTGCAGGCACTCCTTACAGCACTGCACTACCTGTTTTACTATTCGCCAGCCCGTAGAGCAGGAGCTTCTCAAGGGTGTTTCCAAGGAGCTAGAGGATAAGTTACTCCTGATTAAAAATAACTAGAGGCTAATGTTCAAAACAATTTGTCCTGGAAATGTCCTGGAATTTCATCTCACTTAAGGTGTACGAACCCTGAAATGTCTCCCTTTTTTATTCAGAAGGGCTTAGAGGGGCTTGCTGGCTCTCCAAAGTCAGTTACGAAGCTCCGTTCTGGAGACATCTTAGTTGAAACAGCCACAGCTAAGCACAGTGAACTCCTCTTGAATTTGAAGGCCATTGGCGATATACCCATTGAGGTTACTCCCTACGCTTCCTTGAATTCCTCATGAGGAGTTATTGTTGAGAGGGACTTGAAGTCCTGCTGAAACTCCTTGGCTGGAGAAACCAGCAAGGATCTCCGACTCGGGGATATTCGAAGGATCTCCACTCGTCAAGATGGAATTATGGTGCCAACATAAGTTTTGAATTTGACGTTTTCATCACTACGTCCACCTGCCGCTGCTAAGGTAGGTTATTCGAACTGTAAGGTACGGCCCTATATTCCCAACCCTCTTCGATGTTTTCAGTGTCAGCGGTTCGGTCACTCAAAGACATCTTGTCGTGGTTCTGTGACGTATGCTCGTTGTGGTGGCAAGGACCATGATGCCTGAGAGTGCAAACTGGACCCTCACTGTGTTAATTGTAGTGGTTCCTACCTCTCTTACTTTAAGTCTTGCTCTAAGTGGGTGGAGGAGAAAGATGTACAGCGTTTGAAGACTCTTAATAACATCTCTTATCCTGAGGCTCGGAAGCTATTGTTCCCTACTACATCTCGGAAATATGCCACTGCATTACACTCTACTGCTACAGTGGGAGTGCAGACGGACCTTTCTGTGTCTCCATCTGAGTCTTTTTCACGCCATGTGCGGGGTCTTCTGCCCTCCATGGATAATAGTCAATAGATGTACATCTACTCCAATCTCTGTCCCCACTGTTCCTTCCAGTGACTGCCTGGGTCAACCTCCTCGGGCACCAGCCTCTGCAGGTCCTTCTTTGGCCTCTAAATGCAGGACGATTATTCGATCAAGCCCTCAGTCATTGGATTCTCACTCTGACAGAGATCTGCCCGCTCGTTCAAGGGCAGGATCCATGGAGGTCGATCGACCTCCATCTAGTAAAGAAAAACGGCGTGGTCGTAAACCAAAGGGTTCTCCACCCTGTTCTCCTAAACCTACATAAAAATGGCCAGTTTTATACAGTGGAACTGTCGAGGTTTTCGTTCTAATCTCGATGACATTAAGGCCTTGATTGACTCCTATCATCCCGCGTGTCTCTCCTTACAGGAAAAAATTCTGAAACCTGCCGATACAGTCACCCTTCGGCAGTTTTCTTTGTACCAAAATGACAGGTTGTGTGATGTGCGGGTACACGGAGGGGTGGCACTGCTAGTCGACCAGCATGTGCCCTCCTTATCTGTGTCCCTCGATACACCCTTGGATGCCATAGTCATGTGCGCTTCCTTGGGTTGTGCCATCACTGTTTGTTCTCTCTACCTGTCTCCTGGGGAGACTTGTGATCAATCGGACCTTGATGATCTCGTTGACCAATTGCCACCTCCCTTTTTACTTCTGGGAGACTTGCATGGACACAACCCCCTCTGGGGTGGTGCTTATATTGATGGGAGGGGTCGTTCCATAGAGTGCATGCTCTCGGATCACAACCTTTCTCTCTTCAATACTGGAACATATACTTATTTTCATGCACCTAGTCAATCTTTTACTGCCACTGATCTCTCGATTTGCTCCCCTTCACTTTTCATTCGCTTTTCTCGGATGGTCGACAGTGATCCACGGGGCAGTGATCATTTTCCCATCATACTGAGAGTGCCACGGTGGAAGCTGGTCCATCTTTCACCCCTCTCTCTCTCTCTGAACTTGATCCTGCATTCATCTGTCTGCCATCAGTAGACGATTGTGTGGTGGCAATGACTGACTGTATTGTCCAGGCGGCTGTTTATTCTATTCGTAAGACCTCGACACGTTTTCCACGGTATCCTCGTCCATGGTGGGGTCCTGCCTGCCAGGAGGCACGGAAGTCTCAAAAACGGGCCTGGAATACCTCCCGACAGTATCCCACTCTTTCTAATCACATTGTTTATCAGCGGGCCCGTGGCCATGCTCGGCAGGTTCGACATCAAAGACAAAAGAAGTCTTGGATTAAGTTCACTACTAGCATCTCTTCTACC